ACGATTTTGATAGTCGACGTAATCGTGACTAGTCGACTAATCGTGGCAGCCCTAATATCTAATGAAGTGGCAAGTGAGTGTGCAACTACAATGTAGTGTCTAAACATTTCTACAATAGAACAATGAAAGTAGAGCCTTTAACAGCATCACTTGTGAGAAATACGAAGAAGTGAATAAATGAATCAGGAAGTGATTTCTTTCATATTGAAAGTGCTTTCACATTAGCCACAGCTTCCAGGAGTTTTCTGGTTTTTGTTTTGTTTTTTTAGCAGCATATCAACCACGTTTTTAGCTGTGATGTTTTAGTCATACGTGTCTCTCTCTGTTCCTCCCCCACAGTTCATATGTGCAGTATAGATGGAGACAGTGAAAACCACACCGCCCTGGACCTCAAGTTAGTGTTTCCCCTCATAGTAACTTATAACATTACGGAGCAGGTAATCTATCATTCCTTACCAGCAGGCCCTCCTTTCCCTTCATTACCACCTGGATGAATGATGCTGTCAGAACTTGTCACCCCAACATCCATCCTCTCGCTCTGTGTGCGCTCCTTTTGTTAAAAATAGATTATTAATTCAACAAAGCACTGCCATTAAACTCACAGCTCTCCTAACAAAAACATTGTTTAAAAGGTGATGCTTGCCTTCATAAAGCCTTTATGTTATCCCACACCAAAAAAAGTAGATAGAGTGTGGTTGTAAATCAGCAATTGTGCTCTTACTGCAGTGTCCAACCTGTGTGTGTGTGTGTGCGCTGTTGTGCTTTGTAGTCCAGATGAGAGGAGGTTCTGTGTGTTCTCGCTGGCTGCGTCCACAGATGGCAAAGAGATCCTGGGAGGGTGAGTACAATTTGCTTTTATGTTTCAAGGCAGTGACTGACGGGGCTGAAATGAGTACTGAAGGCTCTTTATGAAATTTGAATTCAAGCACAACTCTGCTTTTCTTCCATTTGTTGGCGGTATATTCGAAATATGTTTATTAGAGCCTGTATTAAATTTTGAAACGGTTAATATGAACTTGAAGCACGTTTAAACCTCAATTTGGGGGAGTTTTTTTATTTTTTTCTCAGCCTCTCTTCTCTCTCATTTCAGAGCAAACGACGGCTGCCTTTACGTTTTTGATCTTGAGCAGAATAAACGAATGTTGAAGGTTAGTGTGTCTTTGTGTGCATTTATGTCTTTTTGCTCGCGCGCCGCCTTGGCCGTGCCCGTTTCAGCATCACGTTTGTCTTATTTGCGCTTCATCCTTCGGTCAAGGTTAGCCAGATGCAGCGGAGCAGAAACTACATAAAGTTTTACACCATCCTGTAGTCTAATATAGCAGCGAAGAGTCCAGCTCCGCCACACAGTGGGACGGTGGGGGTTAAACCTACCGCCCTCCCTCCTCCCATAACCGCCCCGTGCGCAGAAGTCAGCATTCGACCTCGACCATCTGCTTCGTCTCTGTCGTCCGCCGTTTCTCTGTCTGTCCGTCCTAATTACCTCAGTGTTGTGGTGTGTTTCTGTGCTTTTATCTCTCGACTTTTTATTAGTTGTTTGTACTTTCACTGTCACTTCCTCATGTGCAGCACTAGACTTTCCACGATTCAGTGCAGTGATGGGAAACTGAAGTCGGGGCATTTTGCTGCTGTGGTTCCGGTTAGTGTTTTTCCCCATTGGAGGGGAGGATTTCTGCAAATCAATAGAAAGCTGTTGAGGCTGATTTGTGTCTCATAATGAGACGTTCATATTCCCTCTCAGGATGACGGTCATCTCGTCCACTGAATGGGTTTAGTGATTATAAAATGATGTGAATCACACGCTGTGGCCTTCACAGTAACCTGTTAGAGATGGCCTCCACATCATTAAAACGGTAAATAATGAAATGTCTTATGAAAGAAAGCAGTTCAGTTGTTCTGCTAGAGCCGTTCATCACCATGCTTCATGCTGAGTTATCCTTTCATTTGTGACACATCCTTTTATCTAGCGATTTATTTCGTCTTCTTGCACATATAAAGAACTAACAAACAGTTGTACTGCTGTAATTACTAACAGCTA